AAAAAAAATTTTACCTATTATAATATCTTTTATCAATAAAGAATGAAAAGGTTTCTTTGGTAATCGTTTCCCATAAAAACTATACTTTTGAGACAATTCATCTGAAAACAACTGTTTCAAAATTTTATTTGTTTTGCTTGTAATATATCGACCTCCTAAAGTCGACAGAAATGAATGCTACAAACAAAATTTACAATTATCATACAGATTAATAAGAAATTAACAATCTCGGCAAGCTGCGTTGTTTACAACCCATTCGAAAATTCGTTCTTGAATTTTTTCGATAAAAAATAATTTTATATAAGCAATTGGATTGAATATTTGATTTTGGTACCTATTGAGTATTGTAGTAAAGATGATGCTAAATAATTCTAAATTTTTATGAATATCTTAAGATTTCTGGCTTCTTGCGTTGTCTATCTCTTTTTATTGACGTCAGAAGCATGAAAATGCATGCTAAAAATTCTTGCGAAATACATTGAAATAAAAATATATATCCATAAAGTAATGCAGGATTCACACCGCGTCCGATATCCGATATCCAATCTATTCTCCTATTGGATATCGGACGCCGCACGTCGGACATCGGTGTGAATCCTCCATAACACTTGCAATCGATTAAAAAAATTTGTAAAATATTCTGTGTTCTCCTCATTTGCTCTAACAATCAATCATTTATCGTAAATTAACGTGACATACAATTGTAAGATATAAAGTGAACTGAGATAATACGAGTCATATTGACAAACCAATAACTACTAAGAAGAAGAGAGAGAATGTACTGAGGTAGGGAATCTGGGTAGCTCATTGGTAAGAGCAGTCACCCGGATAGCGAAAGGTCCCGGGTTCGAATCACGGTCCAGCAAACTCCGGCTTCCGGTATATTTTTCTCTCCGACTCTTACACAATTCACCTCTTTAACCTATTTCTTCGTCTATTTCTATTCAAGTTTATTTACAATAAATTATACATTGTTAGAGCAAAAGAGGAGAACACGGAATATCTTATAAATTTGTTTAATCGATTGCAAGTGTTACTTTATGAATATATACTTTTATTTCAACGTATTTCGCAAGAATTTTAGCGTGCATTTTCACACTTTTAACGTCATTAAAAAGAGATAGACAAAGCAAGGAGCCAGGGACCTTAAAAGCATAAAACAAAAATCATATGATATGAACGTAAACAACCCAGGTTGCCAACGTCGTTATATAAAAAATATAATTGCTGACGGAAGGTTAAATCTAACATTATATACAAACAGTCACCCACATGGAGAACGAGAAAAGGTACATGCCCTTAGGTATAATAGAAACATTTATTTAACGCTCTGGAGAAAAGCTTCTCCCAAGCGCCGAAATAATACAGGATGTTCCAGAAAGCTTTCATACGGAATACACACTGAAATTCTCGAGACTAAGGCCTGGTTGCACCAATATTATTTTGGCTTTAAGCGAAACTTAAACATATATCTATCTTTATCTTTCTTTGTAAATAAATAAAGACAGACATATATTTAAGTTTCCTTTAAAACCAAAATAACTTTTGTTATTTAGGTTGTGTAGTCTAAGGCTGATATTCATAGTCGAGTCTTATATCTAAGATCGTCTTCAATTTATCTTTGGGTACTCCATAGTTAATGAAATAATTCGTACATTATCTGAAGATGAACTTAAGACGATCTTAAATATAAGATTCGACTGTGAATACCGACCTAAAAGAAACATCTTTTTCCTTAACTAAAACAATAGTTTTTACATGAAGGCTATTTAAAGTTATCGAATCAGAG